CGCGGAACGTCCCGCGGGCGATGCAGCCGGCAGCCTCGCGGCGCGCGGGGCTCTGCTGCTCCTTCAGGGACTGCGTGCTCGTGGTGTGCAGGTGTGCTRACTGCTCTCATTCACCACAGCGAGCCTGTTGGTGGTGGCACACGGAAATGCTCATTCTGTTTGGATATATTAAGTCCTTTCCCTTAAATTTGTCTTTTATTTGTCTTTAAAATTTGCTTTTTAGATTTGTGGGGAGAAGGGACAAGGAAGGGGAGAATAACCTGTCTTCTCCACTTAAATGTTTTCTACCTCTCCCTACGCTCTGTTCTCYTTTCCTCAGAGATTCACTGTGCACAGTCTCATCTGCTTGGAAGTGTCCTCACAAAGCCCTTCCCTGCGAGAGGTTTTGCTTGTTCTTGGGTTTTGCTTCGTTAAGCTAACATTAAGTGGTGATTCTTCCCATGTCTTTAATCCGCCCCTGCACCCTCCAACTTGGCTCTTCCTGCTAAAACAGCCCACAGCTATAAGCCGAGTGATGCGAGAGGGTCCATCCGCAGCGTACAGAGCGGGAATGATGCCGATGGAGCAGAACTGGGATGACATCACTCGGATAGGTTTTGCTATGGCAGCTGCACCGGGACCGCGATGGATGAAGCCGCTGATGAATGATGCACGTGACTCGGAGCAGAACGGATGGGGGCTGCAGCAACCCCCAAGGCAGCTGTTTCTGTGGGACACCAGGGCAGAGGAGGGCAGAGAAGGATGTAGGGGGCTGCTCGCACTGGCTCCATGTCCTGGTTTTGGTCCCCTTGTCCCCTCTTGTTTGGCCCCCTGGACTGGCCCTTCCCCAGCCGCTTTCCTCTGGGCACTGCACAAAACCGCGGCCGTCTCTGCTCAGTGAGGCAGAGGGAATGATGTCGTTAGCTCTGAATTAATTTGCTCTGTGAGTGTAAATCAGCCTCCTACTGTTATTTCAGTGTGTTATTTTAAAWGTAGATGCTACATAAAGGCAAATTAAATGTGTGGATGTGGTACTGAAAAAGCCCTCTGGAAAAAGATCTGCTTCCAATACCCAGAAGTCATATTCTTGTTATGTGCTCCTAATAAATTGTGGATGTTTTTGGCCTTCAAAACAGTATGCAATCACCCTGCTTTCTGTCCAGCCTTGCCCCTAAAAGCTGTAGGCTGTATGTCAAGTGAAAATGGATACCCAGAATGTCAGGGGAGCTGCTTTTGGCCCATTCTCCATTAGTCACGGGTCAAACACAGCACACAGCTGCCCTGTGCCTGCTCCAGAGAGGAAGAGGCTTTTCCAGCCCTGCAGGGGCTGTGCGGACCTGCCCACGTGCAGGACACGGGTGGCGGGCGCCAGGGAGACAGCAGCTCCGAGCCCCGCTCTGCACTGCAGGCGCCCATCGAGGCCAGTCTCTCACCCCAGGGCCGCGCGGAGCTGCTGCAGTTTCACATCTGAGGGCTTTGCGGACGAGGTGGAGAGCCCCACGCCCTGGGAGCAGCCCGCAGAGCCGTGTTGTGCCTCAGCGAGGAGGGGATGCAACAGAGCACGGCCAGGTCCCCGCCAGCCTCGTGCCCCTGCAGCCCCACGTCTGCAGGACAGCATGAGGGCGAGCCACAGGCTGGGTGGATGCCTGTATGAGGTGTGTGGGTCTCCCCCATCCCTAATTGTATATGGAATATCCATTTGTTGTTGTCTTCTTCTGACATAAACCTCAGCCTGGGCTTGGACTCGCTACAGCCGAATGCAGAGGTGATGCRTGCACGGAGGGTGGCAGGACTAAACGCTGATGACTCCTGCTCCACGTGTCCCTGTGCATGGGATTTGTTGTCATATTTGGCAAAATTTATCAGKACAGCCGTGTAAAACAAGGAGGGATCTGCTTAAGCTAATTGGATGTAGTTGGCGGCTTGGTGTTATTTTTGACAGAAGGTCGTTCTCTGCTGCTCTCTGATTGCCGAGGACAGGTTAGGTTAGTGGCTTTGTAGAGATGTGGAAAGGGCAGTGGTGGCCGTAAGAGTGGGTTCGGTGTTAAATGGAAACGAGCATTTGTTGGGGGGGTGATCAGGACATTGAGGCCAGCTTGGCTGCCTGTGCAGCTTAATCGTAGCCTTTCCAAATGCCACCATGCGATTGGGAAAGGGGGAAGGCAGCAGATTGACTGTTTCAGCAATCTCTGCTATCTTGTCTTAAAAGAYTGTGTGTGTAGTGCTGGCTTCTTTTCTACTTGACCTAGTTTGTGGTGTGTGTGTTGAGTCATTACCTACATTAAAAGCCTTCATCCTGCTACTTCCTTGATGGTTTTCTAGTGCATTGGGTCACCAGCTCAGCCTGCTGTTTTATTTATTCATAATCATGCCTCCCCTGTTAGCTGCTTCTGAGCAAATTCTTAGCTTTCCTTAGCTTTCCTTTTCCTTGGAATACTAGTTATCTGGGGAAAATCGGGAATAAAGCTATGTTGGCCCATACTTCCTGAGGACTGAGAACTTCAGCATAATTACAGATTGCATTTTTGGTGAAATATATCCATGAYGATGCTCTTTTATGTTTGCCTTTTTTTTTTTGTCTGCTTGCTTGTTTTTTAAGCTGGGAAAACTAATCCAAGTTGCAGAAGCAGTTCTTGTGATTGCAGAAAAATTGATGAGGTTGGTAAGATCAGAGAAGAAAAACAGGTCTCTGGTAAAAGCAAACAGCTTTCAGGGCACTTAGCAGAGGTATAAAGCATTTTAGTAATATAGGTAAATATGTCCCTGGAGTCTGTGCTTTTTCATCTAAGCACAGACTGGAACAACTGGAAGAATGTTGGGGGCGGGAGACACAGAAGCTTTAAGAATGTCACTGAGCATTCTTCAAGCTGAAAATTACTTTAATAGTGAAAAAAAAAAAAAGCAGGAAAAGGTGCATAAGACAAAAGCAATGAAGTTCTGCATAATGTAAGGGAAAGCAACATGATGAAAGGAATTCAAAGAAAGTTTTATATTAAGCAACTGTCTACTTCCAGCTCAAAGAACATTTATGTTCTTGGAAATATTTTCTTAYTTGTTTTTGCTGTTGTATCAAAAGTTGTTTGTTAATAACAGACAGTTGTTTTTTAGACTGCATATGAGCGAAAAAGTGATGTTTTAATGCTCATTTAAAAGGATTTCTATGCAGACCATGATCACTCTGCATAAAATGATAATATAGGTGGCACACCAGCTATTTACTCAATTTTACATAAAACCTCCTAAGCCTTAGCTTCAGAACTGCTATTTACTCAATGTGTACTACTGGCATGTATTTGCTAGAGAACTTCTTTATAATGACCTGATGTGTCATGACAAAGCTATGGAGATACTTGAGTTCTTGTCAAATGTCGCTTAGTGCTGGCTGCCTGGGCAGCTAAACGCTTCCACCAAAAATTCTGCTTTAATCAGAAGCTTGTGCTCTCCTCGTGTCCTGAACTGCCATTAATATTGAATTTCAGGTATAGATAAGCAATACATCTTTGCCATCTTGCACATATTTATTGAATTTAAAGCATAAACATTCAAATATTTAATTCAAAATCGGCACATGCTCCAGTGATCTTGATGTCAAGTAACTGCATTGTGCTAATAAATGCTACAGTGAGGCTTYGCCTCACCTTGTTCGAAATAATCTAGTGATGCAGCCTTCACAAAGTATTGCACATGAGGAAAGGATTGTCACTGCAGGTCCTGTTGTGTAGGGCTCTGAGGGGACTTCATTCTGCATCGGTAGGGAGCTTTGTTTTTAGGTAATAACCTAATAAAGCCCTCGCACACTTTTACTTTACAGGTAAAAATTAGTCTGAGCAATATGCRCTTGTGCTCAAGAATAAAATGAGGGCACAGGAGTGGGCTTGGGGATCCCCAGGCTGTGGCCAGCGTTCACCCGTCCATGCTGTGCAATATCAAGCTCAATGCTTTAAATAAAAGCACCTATTCCACAGTTGYTTATGCAGATTTGGAATGTGCGACCACGTTCAAGTGTGACAGTGTGAGTGTCCCTAGAAGTGCTGCCATCTCTGTCTTCACTCGGTCTTAGCACTCCAGCCTTGTCGAGGACGTTGCACGGGGACGATGAGCTCCGCTGCCGCTCCCGGCGCTGTGCTTGTCCCCATGGCGCTGGCTCCGTTCAGCTCATGCACATCCATCTTGCGCAAAGCCCACCTCCTTGTCATGGAAACTGTTGTCTTAGCAGTTGCAGAGCTCAATAAATGTCTCAGTAGATGTTTTCTTAGTCATTAGCATTTTTCACAGATTTTGCAAACAAAGTTTATACTCAGTAGCATATAAGAGAATGGGAAGAATGAACAGTCCGTTCATTCAGCTTCCTGCCTGTGAAGCAGCTAAAGTGCCATTTTCTCCCATGCAAGGAGTATAAAAGCTACTTTTAATCTCTCTCAGCCTATGCCTGACCTATGGGTGCTTGTTCTAGCTCAGGTTGCTAGGCCCTGATTATCTGGGGCACATTTGGTGCTGTGCTGGGCAGAATGGCCTCAACAAAACGGACTCTTAAATAATATACTGAATATGTGGAAAAAGAGGTAGGCAAATGTTTTTAACACAAGGTGAAGGCTTCCCTGGTCTCTTGGGATTTTGGTACCTCATAATCCCCAGGGCTGTAATTGGTGGCATGAACTGTTCCATTGTTGTGTTTCCTGTCAACATGGCAGTGCTGTGACAGATCCTGTCCGACTTGTCTCTGCCCTGTGCATTTTGCCAGCGTCTGTTTTCCCATTCTTTCTTGATCTTTTCTTTGTGACATAGAGCAGTTGTTATTTTTTCTTTTAAATCAAACTTTACTTTCTACATAAAGATGTAAACACTAATCTTAACGAACACCAAGCCAAAAAAAAAGCTCTGAAAAATGTTGCCTCTGCAGTTTGCTGAAGTCGCTTGTATAGTTCCCTCAGTGTCCTGTACTACAAGTCTCCCACCCGCAAGCTCTCGCAACCGAGAGGCTTTTGCAGTCTTTCCCACTGGGGCTGTTCTTGCTGTTGCAGTGCTCGCCGATGGGGCGCTGGATAAGTCGGCCCTCACAGACGACGTTGGAAGCGAGGAGGATCTGTACGAGGACTTCCGGAGCTCCAACCACCGCTACGGCCACGCCGGCGGCGGCGGAGAGCAGCTCGCCATCAATGAGGTACTGCTGGCCCTTTCCTTTTTGCATTTTGTTTTAGAGCCATAAGAGAGGGCCAGGGCAAAACTGCCAAGGGCAAAGTGCTTGGGCCTTCAGCTGTCACCGTGTTGTATTTGTTCCCTTTCATCGTTAGTTATCATTGAGCACGTTTTTTTTTTTCTTAACGATTCATTTTACGTAAGTAAAATTCCATAATATAACTTTTAATCAAGAAAGCAAATGATATGTCCAAAACAGGTGTAATTAGTAAATATYGTCTCTCATGCATCCCTGGCCTTTCCTGGCCAGCTGACTTGAATCAAAAAGATTATTTTTGGCCTGTTTCATAGATGTCTGAGTATTCAGAGGCCAACAACATTGTACCAACAGGCTGTATGCCATTTAATTTGTCAGACGGTTTCTGTGAGTAATTAATCCATCACTTAGCTTCACTAAGCATTAGCAAAGTGCTTTCCCTGCCCAAACACTTCCTGCAACAAAAGAGTACAGTGAAATATTGCTGAGGTAGAGATTGTAAATGTAAACATCTTAAGCTTTTGAATCAAAATATGTCAAAGAGCTGTGAATCAGCCTTATTTTGAGCTTCATTGATGGACCAAAATCTGAGTATTTGTTAGTCTTAAGCTTTTTCAGTAGTAGTCCTAAGAGGAATATAAGGCGAAGGTCCAATCATCTAGTCAAATTTTGTGAGTAGTCTTGTTCTGGCTTTATTGTTTTCTCACTTGCATTTTACTGGTGCGAGTAAGGAAACTATGGTAACTGCGTTATTCCTAGCCTTCTTGAAAGAAAGAGCTTTCAGATAAACAAAGAAGGTTGAAATAAATTGTTAAAGCAGTTGGCAGACCAAATGTTGCATTWAAAAAAATAGTTCATTTTGGATCAAGAGAAAATGGCTATGGAATAAAAAAGAAACCTTTCATAAAACCAGAATAATTTACTGGCAAAAATATGAGAGGGATGAAAGAAAGCTGGGAAGATTTTGTGGAGCCCACCTAGGAAGATCAGCATGAGAATATGTAAGAGCCAAGAAAAATCAATCAAAAAGTAATAATAAGAGCTTGGGATGAGAAAAGAGGCAGGGGAAGTAATTTTTGTGGGGCATCTGTTTGACATTCTTTCAAATACGTTCTTGGTGCTTGAGGAAAAGAGGTTTCTGTGTTTGGACTGTATTTGGCATGGCGTATTTTGCAGTTGTTCTAGGTAAGAGACTCCATCCTTCTATCATTTTCCTTACACAGTATAGTTAGGTAAAATATAGCAAGAGAAAATCTATGCTGCAGATGCATTGTGGATGAGTCCTCCCAATATGGAAATACTACTTATTGGGACAGATATGTGCRAGCTAGAAGAAACGGTGATGCATGTAGACTGAAGCTGAGAACAAAATACTATAGCAATTCAGTGTAGAGCATTTAGACCCTTCTAGGTCAACAATATTGTCCCTATCACATGAAAACAAAGCATCACTTCTTTGGAAGTGACCTTCGCTAACAAATGGCAAGACTACCTATTTCTTTTTCCCCTATTAACTTTTTGCTCTACATTTAGTAAGTTCAGTATGTGGAAATCTTGTWCCTGATAATATGCAGGACTCATTTACTTCAGGGGGCAATGGTTTTATCTACTGCGGGTAACAAATTGCCTTCTRTTTAAAAGGACAATACTGTAATATGCTACAAATGTTTTTGTTTACCAGTGCTCATTGACAGGATGCAGTCAAGCTAATTAGTCCAATATACGTGTGTCTGATTTTATGAAATAATTCATACAGGAAAACATGTTTACAGAAGTGGTGCAAAAAAACACGTCYCATTTACTAAAGGTGGCAAATGTCCTAACAGTCCTTTCTTGGCTGAGCCCTGTGTAACTGCAGTTGCTGAGTCACTTTTGAGTTATTCATATGCTAAACTCTTTGCTTCATCTTGGGGAACTTCTTTCAGTGTCATTCAGTGTTCACGCAAGCTGTGTTCAATTTTCAGCAAATAAGACATGTAAATTGTAATAGAGTTCATTAAGAAAGGGATAAAATGTTAAAAAAATRGTAGTGCAGATGAAATTAGAGGATTTTAACTTTGTCAACCATGAATAACATGGTTCACAGCATTTCCRCATTATCTGTCTGCATTGTGATTAATGGAAATCTCTTGAGCACTATTTGAGGAAGAATTTTGAAATAAAAAGGTTTTAAAATATATCATTATTTGCATGACATTTGGCAGCCAAATGTTAGCAATCGTTTTTTTTAAAGACTGCAAAATAGGTGGAGAAAGCTACGGTCATAAYAAGCTTCCAGACAGAAAACAGAATTAGAATATTGATCATGTGCAAGCAGTATAAAATATTCACGTGTAATCTGGGAGAGGTGATTTACTGCCCCTTTCGTGTCTTAGTGCAAGTATGTTGCTCTTGCAACTGATAGGAAGCAAATAGAAACTGATTAACAAACTCCTCTCTTCCAAGGACTTAATTCCCCATTTTGCATCTTGCATATTTCTGCACCAAGGCTGACAACTGTGGTCCAGAAACAGCAATTATGATTTGTTTGTGAAGAACTGTGTGAAGCTCACTGCTGGCAAGGACAAGAGATAGTGTTTACTCTGATGAATACAAATCTTTACAGGGTCTGAGTTTTCATCTCTAAATATCTGCATTACTCTGTGTATGGCTTGTGTGAATATTCAGCGTGTGCCGTCAGAGTTGTAACATCTCTCCCTGACCCGTGAGCTCAGTTTGGACCATTCTCAGCGCACAAATTCCTAATGCTGTTTCAGAAGGGTTTTTTTTTGCAGCAGCAGTGGCAGATTTAAAGCTCATCAGTATATTCAAATATTCCACAGTCATTATGAAGGATACTAGTGGCTTGGATCCTTGCCTCCGTGCACCTCCTCAGCCTTTGGAATGAGGAGTGAAGTGGATGCCAGGGCTGCTCTAGCATCGCCCTCATCGGCACCATCCTCTTCCAGTCGCTTCTTCCTTCTCCTGGAGATGAGGAGAGGGTGAGGGAAGGCAGTGGAGCTCACTTGGTACTGACTCTGGATTATCCATATCTGAGGAAAGAGCAACTTGCACATGGATTTTAGGTTTTGTTGGAAAGGCGGGAACCACTGGGTAGGTTGCAGCCTTAGCAGCCTGGTTGCCTGAGTATGTAGCTGAGGTAGGAGCCTACACAAAGMCTGACCTAATAGAAGTGTTTTAATGCATATATATATGTGTGTGTGTGTGTTTTGCCTCCTTGTGTGTCCTCCCCACCCTCTGACACACATGGCATGTTTGAAGAATGGAAAGCACTGCAAGCACTGCCCAGCTTTGATCTGTGGCTGTAAAACAGACCTGAAATATCACTCAAAGGAAATACTGCAAGCTGCTTGATGGCTTTGGAGTTTCTACATCAGCCCTGTCAGCTGTTAAATTGTAAAAACTCTAACAGCTTTTGATAATGATAGTTGTGAGTATTAGGAGACTTAATAACATCTGTTGTTTGCTAGCATTAAATGTGTTCCTGCCTCCTGGGGTGTAGAGAGAGGCTTGGCTCCACACACACACACACACACACACACACACACACAAACACACACATTCCCTTTGGAGCAAAAAGTACAAACGCATTTTAATTCCTGAAGTTATTTGTGCCAAAGCACCTCACTCTGCCTGTGAGCTGGTGAGGGGGACTCCTTTCACCATCCGTGTAGAGAGGCAGAGCCACGCTGTCCTTGGGGCATCTCACTAAAAACTGGTTTAAAAAAATCATTTGGGATGTGTGTCTCCCAGTTTGTTAGTTCAAGAAACACCTGCAATGGATAAGAGAACAATAACAGAGTGGATGATGGAGCTCAGCAAGAAGGATAAAGGAGGAATGTGACTGAGTAGGAATGCTGGGTATGGGGTAGTGTAGTTTATTCCAGATTTAGGTGTTGGCATGGAGAGAGACGAGCGAATGTATCTGAAGAAACTGCGTTTATACCACGCTTTCTGCCTTAGGTTTCTTTCAACGTAGCTTTGATAACAGAGGAATTTCTTGGATTTGTTCTCCCCTCTCCAAATCCTGACTTTGAGGAGCTCCTCTTTGCAAAGTTTTTCTCCTAATCTCCAGAACGCGTTTGAACCCTGTGGTGGAAAAGTGAAATCCCTCCCAAGTCCCGCAGCCCCTCGGAGAGCACTGTTAATCCCTTGAGAGATTCATGGGTTATTCACATTGCCCCTCAGCTGCAGCCCTGTCCCATGACTGCAGGCCCTTGCCCTGCGCTCGCAGAGTGAATTGGGGACAGGTTTTAGTTAGCTGGAGGCAGCAAATTCATCTCTGATGAATGCCCTGGAAACAGGGGCAGCAAATTCATCTCTGCTTTAATGTGCTGAAGGCAGTAGCTTGTCGCTCGCTTGCTTGGATGGAAGCAGCAAAACCGTGGGAGCTGTTGAGGGAAGAGCGATCAGTGGGCAGCAAGCAACCACGCTCCTGAAGTGCCGACCCCGCTGTTTCCTGCAGCTGTGCAGAGTCCTCCTCACTCCAAGCGGCCCTTGCTGGGTGCCTCGAGGGTGCCGTGGGTCTCTCGCTGGTCAGTCGTGYGYCTGCTGCTCGCAGCAGAATGAGGARATGTTACTTGCATTAACCCTGGTGCGCCCACGCTGCAAGGCGTGCGCGCCGGGGGCCGGCAGACACGGCTGCCTTTGTCCCAGAAGCGCGGGGCCGGCTGGGAAGCCGCTGCCGGTGCCTGCCCCTGCCCTTGGGAACGGCCTGCCAGCCTGGAGCAGGCTGGGCTGCCTCATGGCATCGGGTCCACTTTCCTTCCTGAGGCTTCGTTTTGGGGGAACACATCTGCTTGTAGCAAAGAATATCTGGGGAAATGGTTTTGTTGTTGTTCTCCTTTTTTTTTTTTTTGGATTCTACTTTCCGTTAACTTTTTCTTTCCGGCTTCTGGCTAACCTGTCCTCTCCACTGGCGAGTCTTCACGTCAAGCTGTTGCTTGAGCTCTGTGAACTGAACAGCCTACTTCTTCACGTTCCTCCAT